CGTAGCAGCAATTGTCTAGCTGCCTGTGTATTTGAAAAAGCGCGTGGCGATCACGGAGCGCAGAAAACAAGCTCACAGACGATTTAAGAAATACGCAAGGAAGACACTGCCTTCCGTCGCTCTCCTGCGTTTCCGCTGGAGAGCAAAATGCGTCCCAATTGAAATTTTCGGAACGCTGTCCACTTACTAAGGGTAGCTGCCTAATCGAACAGCTTCCGCGTAGGACGGAGGCGGAAACTCCGGCGGAGCTTCAAAATGATCGGGCAGGGGAGGGGCAGAGGGAACAACCCGAGGTTCCTCTTGGAAGTTCTGGAATTGCTCATAGGCACTACCACCGCGATGTGGATACGCTCCGTAGGGATCCCCTTGATACCCCGGCGCCCAAGGTGACCCCTGAGCGCCCCAAGCGCCTCCTTGGGCGCCCCCATACGGAGGAGTGTACGCATTAGGCAATGTCTGACCTTGCTCCCCCGCCCACTGCTGATTGTATGGATAAGAAGGTTCTTGATATGCGTTTGCGGAATCCATAGGCATCTTTTCCGTGCCTTGACTTTGACCTGTCTCATGGAAACCTGTCCCCCCATGCGCGTTGGCTTGGTCTCCCCCGTCGTCGTCGCTGTGGTCCGTCCGTCTTCTGTGTTTGTGCTTGGCTCTTATAGGTACTTCCGGGGGAAGCACTGAAATTGCAGTGTATATCGTGAAGACTATCAGAAATGCAAAAAAGAAGTGCATGATTGCCCTNCCCTTGCGCTGTCTATCCGCCTTTGTGTCCGGGCGAATCCCAGTCGCATAGACAGGTGGGATGTACGGATCCTGTTCTTGGCCTCCTTCTAAAGCAGCTAACTGTTTTTCTCTTTGCAGTTCATAAGCATCAAAGTCTCTGGGATACGCAAGCAGCACTCCATCGAGGTCAGCCTGTGCATCCAATAGTGCTTTATCCAGCTCTTTAACTCTCTTCAAACAATGATCACGGACTGGCTCCAAAACCCCTGAGGCGCCTTGGCTCTGAGGAGCTTCCAGATAAGACAAGCCTTGTATAATAGGGGGAGCGAGTCGGTGTAACGCAATGATCATCTGCGTCGCATCGCCTTGCATTGCAATATCAGACAAAAGCCCTTCTGCCTCCTGTAATAGCTTCCCAAAAGGCACCAATAGAAACTTTGCAAACGTCTGGTCTGAGTTAGTAGGGTCCCCAGCAGCTCCAATAACGCCAGTAAGCTTGGCAGCCAAAGCTGCAGTTTGCCTCTCAGTAGCGGCTTGCAATTCTTCCTTATTGGACCCAGCATTCTTCCTGTTGAACGGTGCCTGCGTAGTATCCACGCTTCCGCCAAGCCCTACATAACGCGTCCTGAGACGTGCAAGGGAGTAAAGGAACTGACGAAGCAGTGCCGAACGCAACGGGGGGTTCGACCTCTGCAAAATATTCGCCAGAGATAGTAAAGAGCTTCCTGGGCGTTTTGCTTGGGGGGGTTCATAGCTGGGCTGAACAGAAGCGAGAGAATAATCCTCTGTGAACGACGTCGCGCCGCTTCCGCCCGCTACAGTCTCCTGTGCTCCCGGCCAGTCAGACCCTTGATACGTTATTGTCTCATCCTGCAACGCCGGGTTTCCGTGGGTGTATCTCGGGAATGTTACCGTCAATGGAAAGCCACCCTGCTGCTCTTCATATCCTACATCCCTGCTAAGACGTTCGTGCCAACTTGCCTCAGAACGTTTAGCGCTATACAACAGCACCAACAACCCAAGAGGAGCTGAGGCTACCCGGCGGAACANGCCTCAGAACGTTTAGCGCTATACAACAGCACCAACAACCCAAGAGGAGCTGAGGCTACCCGGCGGAACAATTGAGCCCCCATGAGGAGTAGTTTGGACAAAATTTTGCCGAAGTAACGTGCCAATTAAGAGTTCCGTTACTTCAGCTACCCCGGGGAGGGGCGCTGTCGTCGACTAGTGGAGAAATTTTCGTAGTCGCGTTGCTGCTAAATTGTGGTGGCGTTTAAGCAGCAACGCCCCCCCATTCCCCCCACCCAGAGGCATCCCCCCGACAAAGAATAAAATACAAAATATGGTATTTAAGCATAACAGCGAGAAAGAATGTGCATAAGTTCCTGACGGCTGCGGTCATCCTTCACGCGAGTGGGGGCAGCGGGAAGCCGAAGACCAGCTGCAGCGCCTCCCTAGAACTCCGATTGCATCTTTAACTGTCGACAAAAATAATAATCACGATATTTTTTTGTTAGTGAATGCAGTTATTTGGTGTTTAACACCCGTTCCATTGTCAATTGTCGGCGAAAATAATGTCAAACGCTTCCTGTTACTGGATGGTTACTCGTCCTTGCAACGGGCCAGCGGGATATACTTAACAGCCTGACCACAAAGTGGGCGGAGGCTGCTCTATATTCTTCCGGCTTCTTTCCATGTAGTAAATAAACCTGATGATCCTCATGTCCATCTAGAGCTACTGTGCAACAGTCTCAAAAGGCAGACTGCGCGCAACCGTCGAGGGCCGCGCGATCTCGGGCTTTCCGACTCGGGCGCAGGGCTCCGACCGAAGACA